TTCTTACCATGGTATCCTCAGTATCTAGCATACTGACCCACAGTGTGCAGTACATAGTAAATAATAATAATAAAATATACATAAACACAGGAATATAGCTATAAATATAAAATATATAAATATAAATTTTTTTTGTTTTGTTTTGTTTGGTTTGGTTTTTTTTGGTACCAGGGATTGAACTTGGGTCCTTGCACTAGCAAGGCAGGCCACTGAACTGCTGAGCTAAATCCCCGGCCCCAATACAAATATTTTTTAAGTGGATGATGAACAAGTGAGAGCTCTCTTACATTAGTAGGCTACTACATCTCTATCCATTAAGGCAGTTTTGATAACTCAACATAGAGAATATCTAAGTTCCTGGCTACATGCTGTATTCCAAGGGTGGAGAATGTCAGTTTTAATTACATCTCCCACCAACCCAGGCATCTCACATTCTATATTTGCTTCCCATTGGCTAAGTCTCAGGTGGATATTTCATAGGTGAAATGGGTCAGAACACTCAGGAGATTGAAGAAAGCAGACAGTGGCAGAGAAAGGCTCTTAAGGGTCTGAGGACAGGAAGTTCACCTGCCTCCTTTCCCATCCTGGCAGTCAAAAGGTCCCCTCATTGTCAGATGGGCCCATGTCCTATGAGGTCCTTCCCTGTGTGGGGGTTAATGGGAAATTCTGGCTCAGCTGAGCCACTTAACACCAGCATTGATTCTTTCTGAACAGAGGAACTAAATTAACACTAGGCAGGCAGCTCAGAAAGTGTCCAAGTCTACCCTCATTTCCTCATTTCCTTCAAAGACAAGTCTGTGTCATAATCAGCCTCCCCTCCATCTATCCACCTGTCATTCTGCTATCTGTCTTTCTATCCATCCATCCATCCAACCATCTATCATGTACCTACCTATACGGGGGCAGTATGAGAAGAACAGTTACTTTTTGTGCAATATTATGGAAAATATTGTAGGATTAAAAACAAAACCTAAGGGCTTCTTTTCCTGTTTTGGTGATTGATTTGATGAAATGACCAAGTAACACAGAAGGCGCTGCCTACTACAGCATATTATTCTGACAAGTCCTCAGCTGAGTCCTTCAAAGCTCCACAACTGCATCCCTCATCTGGCGGATGACATACTCAGAAAACCAGGTTGCTCAAGGTCATTGGAAGAGTCACTGAAGGACTCTCCATTCCTGGTCTGTGTGTCCTGAGAAACTCAGGTGCCCCAGCACTGAAAGTGGCACCCATGTTAGAGAGCAAGGAAGGCTTACTCATCCCCTACGACAGTGGAGAACACATGGCACGCACACTGAAGCAGGCTGTTTGTATCATTGAAAGCTCTAAAAGGTTTGCCAACAACACTGCCCTAGGATCTTTAATATAGGAAAAGGATTAAATCTGAAACCTAGCCACAGTGCATGTATGCAGTAAGGTAAGAGTGGACCTGCACGACCCTGAAGTTCCCTGTGCAGTCAGTAAACATGTTCGCCAACACAGGAACACCTGGGCAACTTTGGAAACTTCCCACTGAATTGCTGAAACCTCTCGCAAAAGATCTGTGCAAAATTTACTAAAAAAATGGAAACAATTTTGTTATTTTATTAAGATGATTCTTTATGTAAGAAAAGTTTTATGTCTTAGGGTGCAGATGTAAAACACCCACTGCCTAAATTAAGCCAATTTAACTTCTTATCTCCCAGTGGACAATTTAATGCAGGCAAACAACTGAACACTTTTCAAAATATCTTAACTTTGGGCAAAAAACATTAAGTGTTAAAGTGCGCTAAGTTACGAGAATAAAAAATTATTTTTGAAACTAATTTTTAAAGGAACTCCCATTCATTATTAGATTAGTTTTAAACAATATTTAAGTATTTTTTGAAGGCAGTCTCTAGACGCTTACAATAGTGTAAAATGTGAATAAGTCAGAATGACTTAATCTTGACAGGGAAGAATTCATTCAAATATTACTCTTGACAACCTGGACCTTCTGTCAGTTTATATTTTTGTTTACAGAAAAAAAGACAAAGGAAAAGTCAGGAGGGCAAGTGAATATGAAAGTGATGAGATTTATGTTAAAAAAAGTAAGTCAGCATATTTTACCTCTGAAGCAAAGCACTCTACAGGTAACTGATAAATTTGTTCTAACTTTTTTTTGAAATATCTATCTGTCCTCACGACAAGACATTCGAGTAAGGCTTAAAACTGTGAATCAAAAAAGAGTAAAATAAGTTTTCTAATATAAACATTTTTTTCCTATTTCTTGGGTCTTTATTCAAAATGGAATGTGAGATTAAAAGAGAAGGTGGTGATTTGTGATCACGAAGTTTAAATCACCCCACTATAAACAAAAATGTACATACCAAAAGAATGAAGAACATAAAGAACACAAAGGTAGTGAAATAAAGTGGTCCCAAAACTCGGTTAGCTTCCTCAATCTCTGCAAAGTTGACATCGCCCAAAATGATACGGAACTGAGTGAAGCTATAAAAACAAAACAAAACACCACAATACGAAACCAAAGAATGTCCAACGGTTGAGGTAACATTTCTTAGGGTGGTTTCACAGCTTTGGACCTTTTTGGCAGTTGTGGATCTGTTTGCAGAAGTCTTGCTACTTATATCAATAATTGAAGCATTCTAGGATATTAAAATATATTTGCTTTCATATGACATATGTTTCCATTTGGTAAATGTTAAATATAATCATTATTAAATGACTTATGTTGCAATTGGCTCTAGGGATCCATACGTAATCTGGGTAAAACATGGTAACTCAATCTCCATGAGATCACCTTACAAGGGTGTGAAGTTAAAAGCTTTTAAAAGTAAAAAGAGATGATTTTTGAAGGACAGGTAGAATTCCATGTGTTCAAAGATCCAATACATCCACAGTCCCTCTAAGTAAAGTCTAAGTAGCTAAGTGTTGCTTTTGGGTCTAGTAAAATCATTTCTATTCCTGACTTTTATCAATCAGGAAGATGAATCAGATGAATCAGGGATCCCTACCGACAAGGCCCTTTGCAACTTGCTGCTGCTCCTTTCCTAACTACTAATTCCTCAAAAATGGCACAGAAATCTGATAGTGGCATCTATTTATTTAATAGCAGTGCTAGGGACTGAACACATGTCCTCAAGCATGGTAGGCAAGTGCTATAGGCCTGAGCTGCTCCTCAGCTTGGTTTAGGGTATGAGAACTCTGGAAAAAAAATCTAAAAATTCCTGTGTTGCACTAAGTTTCTTTTAGAATACTGGAAGTACATTTTTTTCTTATAGAATAACTTGAAGTTCAAAATATGGGGCAACCATATTCAACAGGAATGACAATATTCACAAATGACCCCTACAAAGCCCCAATCTGTGCCATGCGCTAAGACCTCTGTCTCTGGAACATGCTGGTTTTTCTCGCTGTCTGCTGTCTCTAGCTCATTTGTTGAGGGCTTCAGCATTTCAGACTGTATTATCTGCTTTGCCTTTATGGGTCACTGTTTCCAGGAAAGTAACTCATTATTATTTTAAATGACTGTTTTGAACACTTGCTGGTCAATCGCAACTGAAAGGATTTCTTTATCTTTGAGAGAGCACTGCCGTCTCTAATTTAATTTGCTTCTTAATTTTGTAAATACTTACATACATTCTTGGAAAGTACTGAAGTCATCAACCTGAGTGCCAAAGACAAGGTATGCCAACTGAGCATATGCCAGGAAAATAATGAAGAACATGAGGGCAAAGCCAAAGAGGTCTTTGGCACACCGAGACATGGTGGTGGACAGCTGGCTCATAGTCCTGTTAAAGCTGATGAATTTGAAGAGCTGAAAAAGAGACAGTGCAGGTGAGAGGACAACACCAGGTAGCGCACATCCTCTGCAGTATTACTCCACTTAGCGGAGCAGTGGCATCTGACAGAGACTGCCACCTGGGACCCACAGACATTAAGCCACATGATAGGTGTGATATAAAGATGGAGATATTTTCACTTAGGTGAGGCAGCCCCCCAAAACAATAAAAATAAAACAAAAAACCCCTAATGAAAACATCAGGAGATATTACTGTGAACTGGTAACCACTGTTTATCGTGGGCAGGGATGGCTGCATGCAACCACTCTGAATCTCCACACCCAACACAAAACCGCAGTTTAATCCTCAGCAGTCAGTGTTTCTGGGAGCCAGGACTGAGGCCAGCTGTCCCTGCACAAAGCCACATTGCTGGGGACAAGGCAGGTATAGGATGACCTAAGGCACCAGGAGGGGCCTTGGTGGGAGAACCAGGGTCAGAGGTGGAGCCTGGTCCCTGCCTAAAGAATTTAATGGTAGAACTTGGGGAAAGGAAGCAATAAACAAGACAGAACAGCCAGAGGCACAACAGGATGGAAGGGAATCTCTAGAATTTTATTTCATGGTTTCCTAGAAATTGCTCTTGGCCACAGTTAAATTCTCCTGAAGGTTGCTATAATGGACATCACTTCATACAATTCCTGTTCATCTCAGATTCTGGCTACTTTTTCTGTTTTATGACAGAGGTTTGATGTGTAGAGAGGGCTTCTGAACAAGCAAGTGACTGGACAAACAGCCTCAGAGACATGAGGAGGCAAGGATGTGCCCTTAGGGAAAGCTCAAGTTTTCTAGGTGCAAATGGCACCTCAGGAAGACACAGAGACAGGGGAGAACCTTCCAGAAAGCTGATTCAGGGAACTCCTGTGAGGAAGGAAATGTTCTATTATTTCCATTTCCTACTCAGTAGCCACTAGCAATACAGAGACGCTGAGCACTGAAAACGGCTGGTGGGGCCGAGGAACTGAATTTCTAATCATACGCAGGCTCCACTTAATTTCAAATGTAAGTAGCACATGTGGTAGTAGCTGCTGTCTGCACAGCACAGTCATAGCCCGAGGTGGTGTGTGTGTCCCGTGGGGCAGGCGGATAGCTGACTCAGGATTACTGAAACGCCTGCACCTTCAGGACGGAGGCTCACTGTGCCTGAAATGCCCAACCATGCCCCCACCTTGAATGCATGCCACACCTTGGGAAAGAGGGAAGTGAGCAAGGGAGGGAACTCTTTGGAGGAAGTGATTGTCCAGTCTCAGTTCTGGTGAAGCTTCTCCTGGCCTCCTGGAAAGAGGTGATTCTTCCAGTGAGCATTTCCAGGCACAGCCCTTATTGCTCCACTGTTCCCCAACTTCCCCACTTTCTCTGAGTTCCTGCTCCTACCCTGCTCACCCCTGAGGGAAACTGGGACCTGCCCTATGCTCAAGCAGCCTGGGTCCAGGCTGAATAAGCGTGTGTTAAAGGAAGTCCAGAGGGACAGACCCTGTAGGAGTCCAGGAAGCAAGAGAATCAGCCTTACACCCGGTGAGGGGGCAGCACAGGGGTCCCGCTGGCTTCTTCAGTGTAATTATGGAGCTGTTCTGGTTGTCCACTTGAATTTGGTTCTAAGGCAACTTCAAGTCCTCTATGTTTTGTGTGACTCATATTAATGCAAAGAAAAAGTATTAACGATCTCGAAGGTGAAACATATAAATTACCTTAATCCAGACCAAAAACACTGTGACAGCAGCTATACTGTTGAACTGTATTTGCCAGGATGCCAGATGCTCAAAGTTGGGGAAGGTGTCTTGATCTTCTAGAAAGTGCAGGAGGCCCTCCACACTTGATGTTTGGTAGATGTTAATTCCTATCGCTATCCCCGAGAGCTGGAAGGCAAGAGTTATAGCTCACTAGAGTGCTTTAGAAATAAACAGCTTAGCATCAAATGACCACTTTGTTTGCCTCACGAGCACTTACAGGTTCCAGGGCTGACCACTGTGTTCACCCAATGGTGCCAGAAAAGCCACTCAGGGCGGCAAGTGCTGAGCAATGCTGTAGATGTGCATGAAACGTACTGCTTGTGTTCTCTCTGGTTGGTGTGTGTGTGTGTGGGTGTGCGCTCACATATACACACGTGTGTGCACAGAAGTGTGCAGAGCAGAGACTATACCAGGACAAGCTCGATTCAAGCAGGCGTGCCTTCTGGGTTTTCTGCCACTCTCATGTAAATCACTTCTACTTTTCTGTTTGCTTGGCCTCATCTTGGTTTCTCATTTTGTTTGTGGTTTAAAATTTTGTTTTAAATTTTCTGGTTTCTCTCCATTTTGTAATTTCCAGCTGCATATGCTTTCCAGTCTTCACCAAGTACCCTGCCATTGTCTAGTCAGACAGCACCATGCGAGGAGGAAGGGGGAATAAACAGAAGTAACTCTGAGTAAACTCTGTCCTCAAGAAACTCATGTTCTGGTTCAAAACTAAACACTACAAAGGGCGGGGGATTTAGCTCAGTGGTTCGGTGGCCTGCCTTGCAAGGGCAAGGACCCGAGTTCAATCCCCGGTACCAAAAACACCCAAAAAGCAAAAAAACTAAACACTACAAAGGGCGGGGGATTTAGCTCAGTGGTTCGGTGGCCTGCCTTGCAAGGGCAAGGACCCGAGTTCAATCCCCGGTACCAAAAACACCCAAAAAGCAAAAAACCTAAACACTACAAGAGGAGCACTGAAGAGTTGGCAGAACACGTCCGAATGTGAAGGGTGAGACAAACAGCACTCCCTGTAAAGGAGCATGTCAAAGGCACGAAGTGTGCCTGGTCACCACAGTGGGAACGACAGGCAGAAGGGGAGAAGGAGCTGCGAGCCTCTGCTGTCTTTCACTCATGACCACACATCTTTTCACAGCTACCTTGGGTCCAGGATGCACAATCAGACCTGTGGAGACACCGGCCCCATGTGGTGTCCATTCCACTGGACTAACAGGTATACGTGGGCCATTGTGACCTGCTGTCATGCAGGGTCTGCCCGGGTCCATGGTAGCTGGGCTACGGCAGGTGCTGCACCTGTCATCATCCATTTTTTGTCTCCTCATGGCTGCTGGTCATTAACACTTCATTAGCCCTTCCTGAGATGGTGTCCCGACCACAGCCCAGTGAGTATCACAGCAAGGAACATCTGGCCGCTGCACAGCTAAGATGCCAATGTCACCACCTTCCCTTCCTTACTGGTGAAGGGTTTCCAGAGCTGATCTTGTAGGTGTGTTTGTGTGTTGGTGGTGGGAGTGCTTCCTGTGTGTTTCCTGGGATACAATGAAAATGTTCTTCTCCGTGGACTCAGGTGTAAGGAAGATGTCGGGGTGGGTGAGCTGAAAGAAGAAGAGCTTGCACAAGTCTGCTCAGGCTGTGGGAAGGAAGCAACAGAGAGGAGGCCTAAGTGATTTAGCTTAAGGGGAAAAAATGAACAAGTGCTAGAAATTATAGGCATCTGGGGGCAGACACAGCACATAGAAGACAGTGGATGCAACTTTGCCTTATGATTTCTTGCACCTTATACAGAGCTCTGTGATAGGTATATCTCAAGCTTTATTTCTATTTGTAGGAAAGTTTAGACTGCAAGAGGTTTACTCTGTCACTCAAAACATGCTTGGGGTGTTTTTTCTTGTCATAACTTGACCCATGTATATAGGAAAACATAAATTAATTTTTAGTAGCAGTCGAAGAAAAATTATCAGTAGCAAAAGCAAAAAATAAGTATCTCCCTCATAACTCATATGGCATGCCAAATAGGAGTATGAATTACTGAGTTATTCTCATGATTAGTGTGGTTAATTGAGAGCTTAGTACAAAGGCTGGTCCACCTCACAGTCAAAAAGGCTTCCCATGCACACGAGGAAGTAACTTGCAACACAGATACTGACATAAGAGACAGGGTCTTCTAGATTCTCTTCTGGGATATCCAGATACACTAAAATCTGTGACTGACATGTGTTTGGAGTAGAGCTGGGAATTTGGCATTGTTCTCCAACCTACCACAACAATCACAACATCCAGACAATTCCAGAAGCTTCGGAAGTAGTGTAGCTTGTGAATGTGAATTTCCAATATTTCTTCCACCGCATAGTAAAGGATAAAGAAACAAAAGATAATCTCACAGGCTGCCAGGAAGAAATCAAAAGCTGTGATGTAGCGGATCAGCTTTACAGGCTGAAACTGCCAAGAGGTGACCACGCCTCCCGTTGCTGGGAGTTCAACCAACAACCTGCATTGTGATGAGAAAGAACATCGACTCATAGATGTAGTCAGGAAAGGAAGTCCATCTGTTCTGTCCCTCCACCATAAGGCCACTGCGGTTACCACAGGTCACTCCAGTGAGTGGTGAATTATTTTTACTATGGCCAATACCTCCATAGTTGGAGAAGGCTGAGCTTCCCAAGACCTCCCAACCCAAATGATTCCTTCCTTCACAGGCTTCCTTCTACTCCTCAGGCATCTGTATTGTTCAAAATACGGTGCAATATTTTTTATATGGAAAAGTTAACCAATTTATCTTTCTAGAACTTTTATTGGGTGGAAATCACTCAAACAGGAAACACAAAGAATATAAAAAATACAAGCTATGCTCTCAAAACATGTATAATCTGGTTGAGAAGTCAATATCTACTTTGCAATCTATAAATTGGAGCACTGAGCCTCTCAATTAATTAATTCATTCAGTTGGTAGGTAGCACCTAGTTAGTACCAAATAGTTTGCCTTGCTCCTTGACCAAGTTGGGGGACTGTAGTGAATGTAAACTCCTCTTCTTTCTCTGTCTGCTGGGCTGGAGAGTAGTGGTGAGAACCGAACTCTCAGAAGAGCAGCACAGAGAGCAAGGGACCTCGTGACACCTTCGGGGTGAAACTAAAAGCAAGCAAGTGGTCTCGTGGTCAGGTCACCTCCCACTGGCCAAGTCTGGCACTGCACTTATCAGCCATGTCCAGAAATTTGCCAAACAGTGCAGAGAAACAGAGTGACCAGCTTGGCAGTGATCACTCTGAAGTCTGACGGGGAAGGGAAGGACATACAGAAGACATTCTTTGAAGAGACACTTAAGCGCCAAGTCACCTGCCTGCTGTCATCCTCTCCACTGCCTCATGGGAAACATTAGTAAAAGCTCAATAATAATGGCATCAGGTTTTCATTCATGCCTTATAATAACTAGAACTTGGTTTAACCTGATACCATCTTCTACAAAAACGGAAAAGGACTCGGAATATCTGACTGGCCATTAAAGCAGAGTTAAGTTTAGCCTAAAGTGATGATAAAAGAGACACTGCCAGTACATATCCTTATTTTGTGTGGAAATGTTAAGTGCAGGTAATCCCTGCAGGCAATATTTAGGTGTTGCCCACATGCCATCCAGGGTAAGCTCCAGATACACTTGCCTTACTCTACTTTTACTTTTCTTTTCCAAAAAAGAAATTATCATCTGAAATCCTGTAAGTTTTATTTATCCCTTTTGTTTACTGTTTTCTGAGGGATCCTTATTTTGCTCACCAGTGTGTTCTAAGGACAAAGCCTGGGCATCTGCCAGGCATCCAACAATGAATGAATGAGTGAGTGAATGCGTGAGTAAGAACTCCCAGACAAGCCAGGAAGTCACAATCGGTACCCTCAGGATCTCCCGAGTGGTCATGATGCAACATCACAGAGCCATGGAAAGGGCTTCCCAGGCCTCTGGTGAGGGTCCAGCACAGCAGGGGCCAGGGTGTCCTCAGGCACAATCCTCACTGCTGTGCTGTGTCCTAACAGCATGGGAATCACCTGAGAAGAGCAGCAAACCTGGGAAAAGGAGTTAAGGTTTGATAGCAGGGGATGTGGTAAAGGAGCGTGAAGCTCTGATCAGCCTTAGCACGGCTGTGATAGATGTGAGAAAACCACAGGGCTTTTTCTCAATGTTTCCATCCCGTGATGAATGTGGACCAGACTTAGGTTTTTTTTTGTTTTTGTTTTTTTTTTGAGTTACAATAATCTAGGACCCTGAAATCCCTGAAATGTCCTTACCCCACTAAGCCTGTAGTAATCACTCCTTCCTTCTGTCACCCAGATTCCTGCACGTCTCTCAGGCAGCTGCAGGCAAGGCTTCCACACAACAAGGGCTCAGAAATGGGAGGCACATGAGCCCTCAGGACATACCTGGCCACGCAGAAGAGGTTAACGTTGGCGTTGTACACCGAGAAGTCAATAAAAACTGCCCTGGTTCCTCGGTCCAGCCAGACATTTTTCCTGAGGCCAGCAAGCTGGGTGGCTGTTTCCTGTCTGGTTCTTGACAGATCCAGGTAATAGCCAGCTCCACTGTAAGCTGCGATCACTCCCCAGTGGGTGCTCCCATTTAAGTCCTTTTCACTTGTGTAGATCCAACTAAAAGACAAAGCAGAAAGGTAACATTACTGGAGCCCTTGTGGCCACTACAGAGACCGCCTCTGGCTGCTGCTAAGAGAGTGTATATAACAAGCCTTATCAAGCGGGCAAGTTCTGACTGAGTTCCTGGAGAGTTATTGGCCCCAGTTTAGGAATGAGGCCGTGAGGCCTAGAGAGGTCACTTTTGTCCCAGAGCTTGTGAGGGTAGACTCGCCATGTCTGTGGAGCTGAGGCAGCAGCCTGAATTCTGTTGCCTCCCTGGCAGCTACTAGTCTGCCCCCAGGGCCAGTGAGAGCTGAAAGGGTTTACATTTCCACCCAGCTCCTTGCTGTGCAGCCTCTGTTTTTCCACAGTGATGGAAACAATGCTCTTCCAGAGGTGTTTTGTGAGGGGAGATGAGATGTTGTGTGTATGAACAGCAGTGTGACATGGAGTCACTGTGTATCAGTTTCTCTGGATGACATGAAATAAAACAGAATATTGAAAAAGCCACAGATTAGGGGTGTGCTTATGCTTTGCAGGAGATTAAAAAACAAGGAGCATAAGAACACATAATCATTTCCACAACCAGGAAAAATGGCCTCTGAGATTGTTCGTGCTTTTGCTCTAAATGTGTCCCTCATGTGCTCTGGTATAAACAGAATGGACACCAGGAGGTAAACACAGAGTACAGTCGTCCAAGTGTCTGCCCCATTGCTAACTCACACATGGGGATTCCAGGGGCTTGGTTCCTAAGAGCAGGACAGGGATGTCCCGAAAGAATGAACTTAGCAGAGTGCAGAAGACAGCTCTGCCCCAGGGACTCACCCAAGGGCAGCGCTCCAAGAGGCCACCCTGAAGCTGCCCCACTTCTATGGAATAACGACAATAATCTAAAAAATAAAAACTGTCTTTCTTTAATAGCCCAGTATTTGAGATACGGGTAGTGACGGACACAAAAGACCCTGCGAAAGTGCACATGTACCCACATAAACCGAATAAACACATTTGAGGATGGGCTTTAAACCACTAGCACACATTTTGTTCACTTATTTCTTTTTCTGTGCTGCTAGAGATGGGACCCAGGGCCTCAGGCCGGCTGGGTGAGCATTCTACCTCTGAGCTACATTCTCAGTCCCAGCTCAGACTTTAAGTGTCCGTCAGAGGCTGTTGTTAACGACAAAACAGAAAGGAAATCCCTCCATTTGCTTCAGAGTGGATGGACCTGGGGAACAGGATACAAAGTGAGATAGGCCAGGCACTGAAGGGCAAACAAGTGCTGCGTGTTCTCACCAACAGAAACTAAAACCCTAGAAAACGTCTCACAAAAGAGAGCAGAAGAGTTTCCAGCAGACTCTAGGAAAGCTGATGGGGGAGGCAACGGGAAGTCAGATGAAGGCACAAGACACAGCCAAGCGGGATGAAAGGGTGCGTGGAAGGCGGCAACAGTGGACGGCGGTTTAGGACTTATCTTGCAATGACCAGAAGAGACTGAAGGCCCCAACGTGAGAAATGATAACTGTTTAAGTGGATGGAAATGCAAAGTAAACCTGATTTGATCAGTACACACTGCATCTATGTTTCAAGTTACTGTCCTGGACTCCACACAGGTGTACACCTATTACATGTCAATAAAAGTAATTACATTTTAAATAAAAATCTATTTGTAAAGGACATTAAAAAATTTTCTGTACCAGAAAATTTCCTGCTAAGGAACCTAACAGATGATACTATGAGAACAGCATCTTAAATGAAACGTTTAAAGGCTCAGATAAATTATAGTGGGGGGCATACAGCCCAAAACTTAGCCTTTTGAAAAATATAGCTACGGAAACTAAAAGGGGATTGATAAGGAGAGAGGTATGGAGAGAGCACAGATCAATTCGGCCCAAGCTTGCATGTAAGCACTGAAGTCCCAGAAAGCCCCTCCTAAGGCAGGGGCCAGAGAACGAATGAACACCACAGACACTTACGCGGTTCCGTTTTGTGGCCCAAACGGTGCCCTGTCTTCACTACTGACCGAGTAGACATCATAGCACTCTTTAATCTCATCTTGCAGGTCCACGGGGATGGAACAGGATCCGTTTCTGACTCTGAGCTGCCGGATGCGTGGGACCCCGAGCAGCAGGTTCTCGTAGAAAATGAAACTGCGGTTGTCCGCATCGTTATGGTGGCCGGGCTGCGCCTCCCAGTACAGCCCATCCAGTAAGGGGCCCTCTGTGAACTGAAAGTGAAGGAAGCACTGGGGAGAGGCTTGAGCTCTTAGGCCATGCTGCTCCTGCCTAGAAGCTTTGTGTGACCAACACTTTGGCACCTGTGACAGAGCTCGGACAGTGGGCTTTGTTGGCAGAGATCTGCGCGTGTGTCTTACTCCTTCATTCTCCAGCAGTGAGACCTGCAGTAGGATCCTCTACGCCAAAGTTCTCACAACTCGAGGATCCATCTGCTCTGTGGTCAGGGCACGTGGCACAGGGCCGACACTTGATCAGGGCAACTCTGATTGCCACCCCAGGACTAAAGGCAGCAGGTTGGGGGTGATGTATAAATCCACACCCACCATTAACCCCAGCTTCCCTTATGAAAACAGCATCCCACACAAGCACAGTTCTAAAATCATCTGCAGAGAAGCGGTGAGTGTGGGCCACCAGCCTGCCACCTGGGTTGTGACTATACAGGGAACCTTTCTCCCCTCCTACCCCTTCAGAGCTCAGCAGTTATTCAGGAGCTCTCGCGGGTGAGGAGTCTCATGTTAGGCTGCACACTGCTCTGCCTGTAGGGAGGGCAGACCTGGCCACCGCTCAGGATGTTGTCCTGATCAGATGACCAGTAGACATGGACTGCTCAGCACCACTGAGGTGAGACAGGTTAGTGGTGAGGAATGTGAGGCTGGGTGCCAAGTACTGTTAAACATTAATAGGTTCCATGACTCTGCTTTCTCTACGCTTAAAATCAACAGCTCTGACCCTAGGGTTTAGTAAGAATTTTGCAAACTACCTCCCAGGGAGAAACAGTCATTTCCTTTCTAATCTCCCTTCCTATTTCCTTAGATTCTAAGCACCACAGAATATTTGTCCCACGGTATCAGGCGTGGCTCATACTCTGCCATTCCATTGGAATTGTGACAACTGGGAAAGGGGCTGGGTTCAATTTATTTACATCAGTAGATCTGCGAAAGAGGGTGCTTTTCCAGGAGCTGGGGACACAGACCCTTGTCAGCAAAGACACAAAACAAACAAAGTGACACAGAAACACAAATAACCCTCTTGGGCCTTATAGCCTACAAGACGTACAACTGATATTAAATCAGTATAATAGGCTAGAATGAACAACTGTCTGTCATGTTGGAAAAACATCCATTTCTCGTTTTGCTAGCTACTCAGTCTTACACATCTGTGCACCCTGGGTCTTATCAGCCTCATTTTCAAACTGAGTGCAGTGTTAGCACTTGGACAGTGAGGTTACTGCAGGGTTTAGACAGCAGAAGGTATACATTGCTCAGTACTGTGCAAGGTGCCTAACCTGCAAGATTCTCAATAAATGGAACTTTGCCCCCTTTGAGTTGTAACTTCCAATAACTCAGCACCATTTGTAGCTTTTCCACAGTGGTAAACACACTGCAGGCCCTGAACATATTCTTGAATTCAACTTACGACCCCAAATGCACAATTCTGCAGGACAAGCATGGACTTTCAAAGTCACGTGCAAATACCTTCCAGAAGTCCTGCACAGAAGACAGAGTTCTGAAGTTAGTTTTCTCCGTCTTGGACACAGGCATGTCTAGGAAGAGCTGCGACATCGTCCGGGTATAGTAGTACACATGGGAGCTCATCATGCCGTAGGTCACTGGAAGACAGAGAGAAAGGTGAGCTGCACGGGAACCTGCACACAGGTCCACAAGTCAATGCCTGTATGAGGAGCTGGTCCTGGAGAGGGACATCTGCGAGGGACAGGTGTCCACATAAGGTCTTTGTCACCCTTGCCTTCTTCCCCCACCATTTTTCTGGCTTAGAAAAGAATTACATAAGATCAATACTGGCACGAGTTAAACTGGCTCACACTGAGTACTACACGGGCTTCCCATGGTCTTCCCCACCACTGTGGGCTCAGACCCCCGACCCCAGCACGAGCTACTGTATCCCTCATGCTGTGACCGTGTCTTGCACTGTTCACTGCCCCTAGGACATGCCCAGCCTCCCTGCCTCCCCCAGACCCACTCCCATCCTGTTAGCCTTGCTCTGTCCCTCAGGGTGACCTCTGTGGACTCTACCACTTGACAGCCTTGGTCTTCTTCAGGCCAAAGAAGAGAGGTTGGTTTGTACCCTCTGTCCACTGTCCCATCCTATCTGCAGCAGGTTGGAAGGGTCCTCCAGCCTGGGCCACAGCTGCAAGGGATCTCTTTCCACATCACACTGGGTTCCCACCACACCCTTCCCTCCCTGGTCCCCTCAAGCCTGGAGGGGTGACCTTCCCGAGTGCCTCATGTGCCCTGGTCCTTCCTTTAACCCTGCCAGTCCCTCCAGAGCCCCTCCTTTCAACTTCTGTAAGTGCCACTCTGGTTACCATCTCTTTCCTTTCAGGAGCCAGGCGACATGGGAACATTTGCCCCTGTCTACCCAAAATCAGATCCTGTGTGGAGCCTCTGACTCCAGCTGCACCCTGCCAGGGACACTTGGCAGACTGGATGGAGGTTGGAAGATTTCCAGGGGACCAGGGCTTGCATCCTAGCCATGCTCCCAATGGTCACTATGAGCTGGGCAAGAGGCTTAAATGTCAGGAGCCTCGGTTTCCAAATGGGATAAGTGGCTGCCCCATGGGAGTTTTTGGTGATTACCTGAGAGTAACTAGAATTTTATCCAGTGCAGTGGCTGGCCTGTAACAATGTCCATCGATGGTGCTTCTTCCTAACTGGGTTGCTACAGCACTCTCAGTACACACTGCAGCACTACAACCTGTACTGTCTCATGCTGAACAGTAACAATTACAGGTGTTTTCCTTTGTTCCTTCAGTGCTATGAGGTGAACCTGGCTTATATTTCTTTAGAATACAGTTCTAAACACCAGCAGGTGATTAATACTCACTTGATTCTATAATAATCTTCGGCATCATAAAATGTATATTCAAACCCACATTTAATCACTGGGGGAACACACGCTATTCATGTATCTCTTCCTCATATGTCCCTCTTTCCCTCTGAAGCATCAGAGAAAATTAAAACTATTACAGGAAAGGAGTATGCAAGCATTGGAATTGCATCTCAAGCAATCCCTTAAGCGATAAATTCACACAAGAGGCACAACTTGTGGGATCTGTAATTTCCAGGCTCTCAATTATGACCCAAGGTAGGTAACAAAAGAACAGGCCTGGTCAAGTGTCGCATGACCTGACTGACGCCTCTCAAGCTGTGTCGGGCCTGAGTTAAGGTTTAGGATCCCAGTCCATCCAAGTGTGTGGAACAGGCAGTGGACAGAGGAACGGGAGGTGACATCTCCCTCCACCGGAGTTGTCCCCAGGAGCTGGCTGCCTGCCCGGCTCCCACTCCAGATAGATACAGGGACGTACAGGTGCTGAGGCCTCCGGTGGGTCACGGTCAGTGGAGGTGACAAAGCTGATATGGAGACTGAGGCTCCCAAAGCCACCTGAATATGTAGGTTCATTACTTTCAGTTAATGTGAAGTTGGAATATACCTTGGACAGCCTGGTTAATAGAGACCACTCCAGAGCGTTTAACCTGTGGGTTTGTTATTGTTGCAAAGGATTTCGATATATTATTTTAATTTTTTTACTTCCAAATATGGTATAGTAATATATAAATATGTAAATCCTTTAGCCACTGATTTAAAAGTGTATCTCCTTTATTTTCCTATTGTATTTTAAGTCTCAATATTGACAATGGCTTTTTTGTTTTGTTTTGTTTTTTTGAGACAGGTCTCACTAAGAGACCCTTTTTGAGACTGACCTGGAACTCCCTATGATACCCAGGCTGGTCTCGAACTCGCAGTGATCCTCCTGCCTCAGCCTCCCAGAGTGCTGGGATTACAGGTGTGCACCACCACGCCCGGGTGACTTCTGCTGTTTTAATGCTCAGGCTCTGAGCCTGGCTTTCATGGCTTCACTCAGAGCAAAGCAGCAGATTCCCTTGGTTGTGCGGCGCCACCTGCTGGATAGCCAAGGAACAGTGCCTCGCAGCTTGGAAAGATGATCACTGTAACTTGCGGGATGTACAAACATGACCTCTTTCCTGCAGTGCCAGGCCCTGAGCTGTTCCAGATGTCTCTGAGAGACAGTTCTACAAACACTAGGAGTCAGCTACACCACGAGGCCACGTTAGTGGCAACTAAATGACCTCTGAGTTTGGAGTCAGGTTAGGATTTCACCTCTGCTCCTTTCTATGTATCTACCTCTGTCTGGGTGTCCTGGGATCCTGGACAGCTGCTAACTCTCCTGGCTTGCACTAGAAAATGAGAACAACGCTGTCGAGGGCTTTTGTGACGCTCGGCTGAAGAAATACACACTATGCATTTGTACACATTTGCACAGGGTGAAGAGCAGTGGAAATGTGATCATCCCATCCCTTCTCCTTTCAGTCCCCATGAAGAAAGCTCCCTGGAAGGTGGTGCACGCTCTCTAGACGAAATGGGTGGAAGGACAAAGCTCCTACAGTGAGATGTTAACTTGTATCAGGTGCAGGACCACTCCTACCCTGTGTGTGAGTTAGGACTTACTCTTGTCTCAACTCAGGAGTTTCCACTTTTTCACCAACTAAGCCAGAACAAAATGCACTAAAGCACAGACCACCAAAAATGCAGCCTGTAACCACAGCTACCCTTAAGTCATGGTCTGTCTTTTCAAAATAGCTAATGGGTACTATTTTACTGTTGCTATCACTGAAAAATGTAGGTTCAAATGGAATATTGTATAATGGAGTCTACTATACAAATCCCAATTATAAGAATAAAAAAGCAAAGGAAGAATCTCCAATCTAAGAAAAATAAAAATGGATAACAAAAAAGTACAAAAAAGGGAAATGTGAAAGTCTCATGCAGACTTTACTATCATGAATTCTGTGCTGAACCACAGAGCATCTCGATATAAAATGTTAACTGCTAGTAGTCTAAGGAGAATTCGCAACTAGGCTAATTCACTGTAATTTGACAAAAAAGTAGACAAAAATCACGTAGGCACATTAAGGGTTTGAACCAAATAAATGACTTAGTACAGTTTGTATATAGGAAATTTCATGCAGGTTGATCATCCCTAAACAGAAAATCTGGCACTACTCCAAAATCTTACAGTTTCTGAGCAGTCAACACAATAGCACAGGTAGAAATTTCTATGCCATAAAGCTATTTTACGTACAAAAGTACCAGAACCACTGCATCAAATTACATTCAGGCTGCATGTACAAGGTGTATATGGACTTGGGTCCCACCAAGATCTCTCTCTCTCTCTCTCTCTCTCTCACACACACACACACACACACACGTGCACACGCAAAGGTACCAACTTGTGAAAAAATGAAAAAAAACTTCTGAAACACTTCTAGTACCAAGTATTTTGGATAAAGGCTACTCACTCTGTTGTACCAAAGAGATCATTTGCATTCTTTTTCAAATATCTGTGAAACATTTACAAAGATTGGTAATGCACTAGATAAAAAACAAAGTATCAGTAAATCCCTAAAGTTATAAATCCACTGGGGGCTGGGGATTTAGCTCAGTGGCACTGCACCTGCCTCACAAGCACAAGGTTCTGAATTCAATCCCTGGTACTGAAAAAAAAAAAAAAAAGCACCAGGTAGGTGTAAGAGGACAGCTATGTGAGGACAGAGGTCTGGAGTTAGACACCTGCACACCACGCAGGCCAAGGAGTGCTAGCCATCACCAGAGTCAGAAACAGGAAGGCTCCCTAGAGCAACAGCGGGAGCACAGGCCCGCCATACTTTCCCCTTGGGCCTTTAGTCTCCTGTTACAAAATTTCTGTGTAAGCCAAAAAATAAACATCCCCTCCCGTAAAAAACAGAAAAGTTCCTAACTAGCCAATATTCTTATGTCACAAATTCTGAAGATTAATTAACACAAGGATAAACAAGCATACCCATATAAAATCAAGCCATTTAAGAGGTTTTTTTTTTCAGAAATTTGTGGCCCAAAAAGGAAATCTAAACTTCCATGTAAATGTAACTGCACCAGATGTAAAGACAGCAGAACCAAAATGCCCTGGTCAGATTCCAGGCCAAGTGCCCCAAAGTGAGGCAGCCCTTCACCCAGGAAACCTAACTTCTCTGCCAGCTCTGCCTTGTACTCTTCTCACAGGGGTGCTGTGGACATAAAATTAAAATCTGTTCTGAACGTGTCGTACGGAAATGCAAAATGCTACCCAGAGATCAGAGATTCAGCTGTGATGGGCTCTGAAGAGGCTCTTTGAGCACTGGTGAAGGAGAAGCAGAGCTAGGGAACAGGAGGGAGGGGCGGGGATGCACAAAGGTGTTGGCAGCTCTCTTCCCGTCCCAGCACTGTGATGTGCACCGCAGAACCATCCTCCTGCCCCGAGTGTGATGGGTATGGAAGCAATCTCACAGTCCAGTGTGGGCCTGTGCGCCAGAGGTGGCCCAGGACATCAGCACAGCACAGAAGGGCCGCGTCAGTGGGCACCAGTAGAGCTTCTCTGGATCTGGCCCCTGAGCTGATCCTGAAGTGAGGAGACAGACTTTGCTTGGCCAAACTGCAGGCAGGCTCCCAAACCTCTCCTGGGCCCAACTGTGCGCTTCCTTATAAAATTCTTGTTTAGTGAAGTACTCTGCTAAGCTGGCTTAGTGAGAACCCCACCCTCAATATATGATTATA